CAGAAGAGCTTTTCCACACATATGATGATGACAGTATGGGTGTGTTAGGATGTGATGTGAATTTAACGTGATGCAAAATATTTCCATATGATGCAACTTTTTGTAACATTTGCAGAAGTGTATGTGGCAATAATTCCAGTCAGTCAAAATGCATCTTACAACACTGACCACAGTATACATCAAATTACATCCCATCCACCGAGCCGGCCTGCCATAATGTCTAAACCAATGACAAGGGAACACTGTCGGTTAAAATGACACAGAATGGAAAATTGTCTTCAGTGTTGTTTTGGATCGGTACCAGAAATGCATCAACTTTCCACTTTTCAGGAGCAATAAAGTGGCCCACATTTCATATGAATATACCCAGACTTCTTTCTGACTTGGCTTTAAAAAAAAAAAAGAAGAAATATATAAATATATATATATTTTTGTCCTGCTTCTGCTGCCCTCATCAGGAGGCTCGTGGGGCCTCGGCACTGCAGGGTCCTCAGTTCTGGTGTTGAAAGGATTCTTGCCATAAGAATGAGTGAACATGTTCTCCAACGCAGGGCTTGATGAGAAAAGCAGACTCCTCACCATTTGAAACCTACCTCTGCTTTTGGACAGCCGTGGATGTGGTCCATTGGCTTCCCAATATTCAATTTTTCACTCTGTTTTCAATTTTCACTCACTGCACATTACGGTGGTGCTGTTTTGGGGATTTTGAATGGCCTTGCTGTGCATATTTAAATGAGAGAAGGCAGGTATAAAAAGATTCTTATTTGCAAAAAAAAAATGCTATAAATAACAGACTAGATATAGGTTCATCGGGATTTTGATAGCAGTTCATGTGTGAAATTGTCTCATATCTCTATCAACCCTTAAACCTCATTCTTCAAACATAATTTCTAAGAATTTGTGTTGCGTGTAAAAAGACCTCAGTAATAGTGAAACTATTTCTGGAGTTTTTCAGGTAATCCTCAGACCTTATGATCATATTCTGTTTTCACTTCCCTTTTATAATTAAAAATACTTGTACACATCGAAACCTAACATCAGACTGATGTTCAAAGCTTGTATAGTATATCACGTCTGTGTTGTTCTGAAATAACAGCCCCCCTTTTCGCTCTTACAGTAGCTCTGTGGTGCAGCTGTCCACCATGCCTAACATTCTGCCTCGGCGGGCCAAACCCCAGCGCACCACTGAAGTCCTTCCAGTTTCTAGCCAGGAATTCTCTCCCTGTCTGGGGGAAAAGTCCCCAATAATATGACCTACATAGGCAGCCCCCAGCCAGCTTTCCTTTGCCCCCTCTACCGCACCTCATACCCCCACCCTCAAAGTGTGCTCGGACCTCTGCTCAAATCTGCAGCCATAACAACACATTAGCAGCAGTCACACTTAGCATAGCCAGCCCTGGGAGGGGTTTCTATGGCTGGCTGGACCCAGGATGTGAAACTGAGCAGCTTCGATGGAACTCTGTATCTGACCGGTGCCGGTTTGTGCTGTTGGTCTTGGCTGCTGAGCTTTCCTCTGGTCCCAGGGAGGGGTGGGGCATTGGTGAGCCACAGACATATGGCTGAGGGAAATCTTGTAAGGTCAAAGGTCACAGGGGTCAATCTAACCTCCTGGCCTCTGGTTGATTTATTATCCCATGGGGTGATGTTGCACTGCTCGGACCAAACAGAGAAGGGGTCAAAGGGCATACTGTATCTGTTGCTGTTGTGAAAGGCTGCATAGAAAACCAGTTTTCTAACTTGGGGATAAGGGAACGCAGAGGGCCCTGAAAACAGAGCCCCAAGTTCTGCGGGGCCATTTAAGATGACAGCTTTACCACTGTTGCATTTCAAAACCATGAAACCATGGAAACCATGTCAATACTTCAGTAATAAGAGGGCTTAACAGTGATTTTGACATCTAAGAGGTGCTGTTAGGCGCAACATGAACAGCTATGTCTCATGTCTCTTGTTGCTCAAGCTTGACCTTGGTAGACCATGCCAAACTGCCTACATAATCACAGAATGATGTCAAATCTTTAGCCAAAAATAATTCTATAACATTATTCTTCCAAGCAACTCCCTTTCAGTTTCTGTATGAGCTGGGATTTTCTTGGTCACACATGAATACTCTAATGGGATCACAGGTGTGTGTTTATTTGGTGTTTTATGATGGTTTTGAGCCAGACTAAGCCAATCAAAGCAAACTGGTCTATTTTATACTTAAAGACTAAAAAATGGGAATGTCAAATATTTTGTGGTAAAGAGATGCGGGGGAGGGCGTGGAGCTGTAGCAACTGTCCTCCAGGCAACTGCTGGCCTCAGCTATTTAGGGACAACTCCTGACAGAGTGGCTGGCATCAGCTGCTGCTGACATTGTTTGTCACAATCTTGGTTTGACATAGTACAAACACACACATGCACATGCACACACACCTGTTGACTCATATCTGCTTTCATATAGCACTGCTGGTCCTCTAAATGCCTGGGCCTCTCTAGACAGGTGGCCTCCAGGCACCCCCATGGTGGGCAGGCACGACCACAGCCTAACAACTACCACCCGCTCAGCAGCCACAGCCTACCAGATAAGCATGTTTGGCTGTTTTTTGGCTGACTTTTGGTTTTTTTTTTTAATTACGGGGAAGGTATATGAGCCATAGAATGCTTGGTCCCCTGGATCCTCCAGCCCAACATCACTTTGTTCATCTCTGGACACAACACAGCTACTCTGATGTGTCTTCTCGTCATGATATTTAAAATGTTTAATTTTAAGATGAATTTTCTTTATATATAATTATATATTTAGTGAAGGATTGTAATGTTATCAATAATGCTTAGTAATCCTAAAATCAATTTTCCAGCAAAAGAAAATGCACTACTGTTATGTTCATCAAGATAATCAACTGGTGGAATTAATTTTCCAGTTGGGTGCCAATAAAACATTTCAGAAGAAGGGGATGCAACAAGATGACATAATTAAGAGAGCGCATGTCAAACCTCAGACAGTGGAAAGCAAAAATTTGATAAAAATAAGAAATTTCTCTTTGTTTCATGTATTAATTTAAGGAATGTTACAGTCTTCACATCACTCCACAGGGATCTGTCTTTTCAGTGGAGCAGAAGCCTTTTGCCTTTATCAATACACCAACTTTTCCACTTCAGCCAAGTGTAAAAAGGTTTTCGCAATTCTTGAATTGCACATAAAAACTGGTTGATGGAAACATACTTTGAGATACATGGGTTGAAAGCAACAACAGACGGCACCAATTTTAACTGGAACTGACCCATATCTCTTCAAACAAAAAACATGAATAATTTGACAGACGATGTAATAAAATACAGACTTTAAATCTACAATTTTTGGCCACT